CCCCCCCCCACAACTAACAATGAGAAATAGATCCACCGACCCCGCAAGGCTCCTCCCCCTCTGTCCCCAAATCCAAATCTACTACCACGCCATCGGCAGCCAGACCAAGGTCCTCCCCGCCAGCTTGACGTCCATCGACGAGATCCTCAGCCTTGCGGGCGTGCATCACATCACCATCGCGCCGGCGCTGTTGCAGCAACTGGCGGCGATGCCGGCTTCGGCTGCTGCTGCGGTCCCTAACCTCTTCGATACCGGCCCGCCGCTCATCGACTCCGAAAGACCGGTGGCGTTCCGGGATGATGAGGAGGGGTTTCGGCTTGCCTGGAGTCAGGAGGGGCGGGGGGAGGGTGAGGGGAGGCTTGGGCAGGTATGTTTCTTTATTTTGGGCGTCTCTGGAAAAGGGGAGGAGCGTTGCTGACAGCGTTTGGTTTCACTGTTCTAGGCTGTGAGTATCTTCTGTGAGATGCAGGATCAGTTGGTGCGGATGATGGGGGCGGTTTTGAAGGGGGGTGCCTAGTGGGTAGTCTGGTTATGAGGCTGTGCTGTAGGTTGGTCGTCTAGAGTAGATGGTAGATTACCAAGTAGGGTCTTTCTCCGCGTCACAACTGAGAGGGAATTTGAGGAAAGGCAGTTGGTGGAGTACAGCGCCCCGCAGACGCTGATATGATATCAGAACATAGTCTTCTACCCACACCAAACCAAGTTACAATACATGGAAATGGAACCATTCCTGGAAAATCTATAGTAAATGATATGCCTACCGACCCGCCCGACAAGCTAAAGAACAATGCACCTCCCCCACACATTAGCACCCCCTCTGTAAACAACTAGCAGAATCACCTCCATTCTGAAACCGTCGTCAATGCTGTTCTAGCCTTTCGCATACTGCATGTAGTCCATCACCCGTTTCGCACATGATAACTCAAAGGAGGAATAGGATTATGATCGAACGCCCACTCATGCTTATGCCGAATTGAAACTGAACTATATACTTTTTTTTCTTGCTTCTTCGATTTGGCTTGTTTATTCTCACAGCACATTCCGCAGGTTGGGCTCGTGTTATGTATGTTTGCTTGTGTGCTTGCTTTTGGGCTTGCAGACCGTTCAAGTGGGATGATTTCGAATGCATGATTTCACGGCGTGCCGTGGTGTATATGATAAGATAATAGGTGGTGGAATGGGGGGGGGGGGAGAGCTTCGGTGTAAATGATCACATGAGACACATCAGTCATCAAACCAAACCATGGGGGAATCTAGGACTGAAACAGAATGATTGGGTGGGTCAAAAGGGTCGAGAAACAGGAAAATGAGAAGACGGGATATTTTGATATAGAAGGACCACACATCATGCGCTCAATCGCTGGATAAAAGACTGCAGGGGACGTTAGCCGTTGCCTGAAGCTAGGTGTAGAAGTAATACGAACCGGGAAGAACTGCCGGAATCCCTTCAAGTCCAGCCGGCTCAATGCCCCTACGAACTCTTCCACGAGATCTGCTCCCATGCCCATGCCTGGCAACTCCTGAGTCCGGAGGTACTCCAGATATTCCATGCCAGTCTTGGCGTAGATGGTCCGCTGAAGCGCACCCGCTTCCGCAAGGACCTGTTTAGCCTGTGCATCCTTCGAGTTGAATGATGGTGTCGCGGGCAGTGCCCAGCACAGCGGCGACAGCCGGCTGATCATAAACTGGCCGAAGCCGGGCAGAGCTACCTGCTGTCCTGCCGCGCCGTTCAAACCCTCCGGCGCAATGTCCGGACCGCCCCACGAGCTGCCCATCTTTGACAGCACTGAGAAGGCCATCTTGGCGGTGGTGAAATCCTCAATGTCCTTGGCGAAATGCTCGATTGTCGTAATCACAGTATCAAACATAGGTTGGTTCCCTGCGTCGTTAGTCTAGGTCGCGCTGACAATCACAAGATATAACTTACTCTCACTGATAATGACAGCCCCGAGATCGTTGTTCAGAACAGCCAAGAGGAAATTGAGATATTCGCGTTTCAACTCCGCCAACTGGATCTCATCATCGGTGCCAGTAGTCGGGTCCGCGATACCGGAGAAGACCCTTTGCAAGAAAGGTGTCAGAAGAGTGTCTAGGATACCGGTGATTTCGGTCTTGAAGCCGAAGATGACCTGGTCTAACAGCCGAAGGAACAGGGCCATCTCGTCGCGCGAAGATGTCTGCGTGAGAAGGCCGTCGATCCAGCGTGGAAGCTGGGGCAGAATGCGCGCCCCAAGAACGCCAATAAGTCTGGAGAAGGCGAATCGTGCCGCCGTGCGCACATTGAACGAGGCCTTGAGCGATTCCAAAGCCACGAGAGTGGCTTCCGACACCTGCATGAATGCCTCGGAAACTTCCGGCGCAGGGAGCGCAGCAGGAGAGCTGGTTCCTGGCATCCAGTCGGAGAAGCCGCGGGCCAAGGTGCCCAGAGCCATGATATCATGGTGAATCTGCAAAACGGCTCTTTCATCGTTGGCTTTGGCTGGTGCCAAATTCTTCTCCATGTCCATGAAGATGGGGTTCAACACGGACTGCGCGTAAAGAACTTGCTTATCAGCGGGTACCGTGGGGGTGGAGCAGATGATGCCCACAGCCTCGAAAAGATACAGTTGACTGTTGAACACAGCGTCTGCCGATCCTTCGTGGTCTTCCGAAGACATCTCGTCTCCGTCCGATCCTTCTGAAGGCACCTCTGCATGGATGACCAGGAGGTCGGTCAAGGCCCCAACCACGGTCTGAGCAACGTTACCAACATTGGTTCGCAACTGCTTGACAATGCGCTGGAACAGGTACCATGAGCGTGTCTTCACCTTCTTAATCGGGTGGTGGATTAATTGGAGGAAGCTTTCCAAGACGCTCGGAATCAGATGAGTATGGTGTTGGAAGAACGAGCTGTAGCGGACGCAAATCTCCATATACTGCAGCTGCGTAGCAGGGTGTGTGAAAGAGCGAATGTCGGACTCGACCATCTTCAGCATCATTCCAATGAGTCGCTCTGCAGCGGGGTTGTTGGGGGATCCCTTGGTGTACAGGCTACCCGCTTTGACGGCAATATCTCCAAACAGGAACATCTCGTGGAGAGCCAAATCCAAGTCCCGCCAATCCAGCTGAGCACCCGACTGCCGCAGATTCTCAAAGGTCGTCCCTACTACCTCCGAAACCGCATCGATGTATAGTTGTTCGTTCACGTTGGCGATGATCTGCTGTAGAACACCCAACCGCTTGCGAAGCTCCTGGAACTCCGCCTCGTCCGTCTGGTCGTCCTCGTCTCCCCAAGACGATGTTTCATCGTAGCGCATCTTGGCAATGATGGCCTTCAGAATTGGTAGCAGGACGGAGGAGTGCTGCGCAGCCAGAGCTGGGTTGACCTTAGCCATCTTCCTCAGGTAGGCCAGAAGGTCGCTGACGCAGGGAATCACAGTCGAGCAGACCTCGTCATATTCGTCGGAGAAGTATCTCAGGATATGCGGAAGGAAGGCCTGCAGCAGACCAGTGGCTTTCTCTTTGCAGTCGGCCATGATGGTATCCTGCTCCAGGGCCCGTACAATATCAATGACTGTAATATTGACTAACTTGGCCACCGTCTCCGCCAGATCGGTATCGTACTTGAAGGTGAACCTATTCTCGTTGAGAGGGGGGCTATTGGAGAGTTGGGTAACAATGGTGTCGAGATTCAGGAAAATAATCATGTCAATCTTATCCTCGGGCTTCATCTTCTTGCCGATGATTTCCGTGAAGACATCAACCGCCGCATCGCGCACCTTCTCTTCACCGGATCTGAGTTCCGCCTTCTGCGCACGGCTGAGCTGCTGGAACAGCAGGTCCATCATGGTCTGGTTCACCACAAGGCCGATATCAATCCAGCTCACCCAGCTGCCAACCGCCTTGAGGGACATCTCTACAATCACATCGTTGCCGTCCCGCCATTCGGACAAGATCTCTTGCCAGGAGCTGGCGATCTTCTGCATATCGCGCTCCCGGATCAAGTCCTTGAGGAGGTTGGCCTTGTCCTGCTCTGTGCGGGACCGGGACACCAGAACATCTCCGATCTCCTCATGAATCGAATTGACGACACGGAGGTAGAAGATGATACCGAGCGGGTTGTCGCGACTCGTACTCGCGGGGCTCTTGAAGGTGAGACTGAGGAGGTCGTCAAAGCAGGATTCCCAGCCGTTCGCATAGAGGGCGGAGAAGAGGAAGGTAATGGTCTGAGCAATCTTATTCTGAATGTTGGGCGGATCCGGAGAGGCGGTTTCCTGGCCGTAGACCTGTCGAAGGTAGGCCATCAAGCCATCCCGAACATATCCCAGGGCCTGGAGGTCAAGGAGACCGGCCTGGGCCGCACTGTTGACCACTTCCAACGACACATGGCGTATGATCTCGGAGTATTGTGGAGTTTTAGTGAAAAGAGCAAGGCAAACCTGCCATCCGGAGGGGTCGGCGCGAAGTTGGTTCAGGTATTCGTAGGCTTGATTCTTGAGGGCTTGGTCGGAGGACGGATTCCAGGCGATTTCAATGGCATTCGCTACCTAATGGAGAGTCAACATGACAATGAACGAGGGTCCTGAAATCAATTCCAAGAATCTGGAAGAGTGACTTGACTGGACGGGTAAGCATGGAGGGGGGAGGGGAAGGAAGGAATAGTGGGGTGGGGATTCGAAGAAAAAAGAAAAACGGGTAAGCTGCGAAAAGAAGACCAAGTTAAACCGCAACGTGGGAAAACAAATGCAGATCAAAGGGATTATCCCTTACCTGTTCTTCCATCTTCGACCAGCCTGGCTGCCTTCAAAGTCGACGACTCGAAAGCAATGGGGGGGAGAGAGGGGGGAGAAGGAGGGGGAGGGGTGGATGGAGTTCAGAGATTCAATGAAGGTGGTGGTTTAGGACAGGATGATGCGGCGGCGAGTAGTCATAGCCCGGAGACACTATCAAACCATGACCGACTAGTGCGTGTTTAGTTTAGCAGATTGGTTGGGTTGGGCCCAGTGCAAGTATGTTAGTTAACGTTAGTAGTCAAAAGGTATTTGGACCCAGTCACTCGGGTAATAAACCTGCTCTAACGGGGCAGAGTCACGAGGGAGAAATGTGACAACGCAGAAACAATGAAGACGTCGAAGTCTGGGAGAGAGTCAAGAGTTGCGATAGTTGTATGTTCCAAGAAACGCTTATCGGCCAGTCAGTTCCTCGAGCACACTGCGATGCACATGAAAGGAACCTGAAGAGTCAAAAAATTGACCTGAGTTTGTGTGGCCCAAGGATGGAATGCTGGTCCGTTGCCCAAAAATGGCAAGGGGCGGCGTGCGGTTTCGGCCTGATTCCCCAGGCACCGAATGACATCGATCTGCCAGCTGATCACAGCTAACAAGTCTACATGTCCCTAGTCCGATAAGGTATCTATGCTGAATTGTTGATGCATGCTCTGAGCTGTAACTGTATCTCTATTCTAGAGCCTTAGCGAATCATATCTCATACTACACTTCACGATTGTTCCATTGAATCGCTTCAGTGCTTCCCTTCTTGCCGCAAGACCTCCAGCTCCATCTTCTCGAATCCCTCCACAGCCTGGCCGTATCGCTCATACACGCCCGGCTGATATCCGTCCGCAATCTTCTCGATGAAATCTTCCTCCTTCCACCGCTGCCCAATGAGATCCTCAAAGGTCTGCCCCGTCGTTCTCTCCATGGCCCACACCGCCTTGTACGCAGCTCCCAGCGCACATGCATTATCACCGATCTCCAGCTTATACACACCGTCACTACCACCGAGAATCTCTCCAGCTACCTGAGCAATGGCCTTGTTCTTCGATCCACCGCCGACAAGATACACTCGGCGCGGCTGAGCAGGGAGTCCTCCGCCGGGGCTCTGAGTCAGTCCGCGCGATCGCAGGCGCAGGGAGAGCATCTGGCTCTCGACGATCGCGCGAGCCTCGTCCAGGGGTTTGTTCCAGCCCTCCTCCGTCTGGTGCAGACGGCCACTCTTCGGGTCATAGTCGAATCGCCATTGACCCGCTCGGAGGTTTGGCACGATTTCCGGGCGCGGAAAGAATAGGCCCAGTTTCATGGGGTCCGAGTCGGATTTCTGCCCCATGGGCGGAGTCTCGAGCGTGATCTTGTCGAAATTCGCCCACGTCAAAGCAGTGGTCTCTCCGAGTTTTTCATTGATCGCATCGCGGACCTGCTCACGTGCGAGCCCTCCGTTCTTATAGCACAGCATGAACATGTACAGACCAGGAGTGGTGGGGTGGTTGAAGAAATGCGTAGCCGGATCGGGCTTGTAATTAGGTGTGGACATGAGGAAAGTGGTGGAGGTGCCAAGCGAGACCATCGCATCGGATGGCCGCAAGGGAAGCGCAAGGATTGTCGCGGGGTTGTCGCCCGTGGCTGGAATGATGTTGCAGTCTGGACTGAACCCGTAGCGCTCGACATAGTATCGGTCGATGGTACCCAGATGGATGCCTCCATCTTCGGGAACATCGCCCAGCTTGCGCTTCAGATCCTCCACACCGGAGGGTCCTGCACACAGCTGCAGGAGTTTCTCATCGTAGGCACCCTTCTTGATATTCCACAAATTCATACCACAGACATCGGAGATATCAAACGGCGCAATATGGCCCAGGAACAGCGACGCCAGGAACGAGGAGACTAACGAAATCCGCAATGTTCTCTTGTACACCTCGGGATACTTGCGCTGGAACCGCAAAATCTGGGGACCAGTAAATCGCTACAAGCAAAGAAACCCAGACTGTTAGTCACTCCCCCGCACAAAACGGCTTGTCACAAAACGGCTTGTGAAATCCCGAGGAAAGGTTCTTACATGATGTGCCTTGCTTCCCGTAGCAGCGGCAAGCTCCTCTTGTCCACCCAGGTACGCATCAAACTCATCGCATTCCTTCTGCGTACTCGAGTCCTGCCAGTTGGGGCTGAAAGGATGCGAGAACGCTCCCTCCAGCTGCTCCTCCAGCGTCTTCTTCGCATCCAGACTCTTCAACAGCTGCTCCGCGTTCTCGCCCCAGTAGACGCTTCCATGCTGTTGACCAGCTCCACTAATGCCCTTGACGCGGCGGAAATCCAGTCCCTGCTGGCGTAGTCCTTTCAACACTCCGTCAAGAGCCTGCAGCCAGAGCGCGACGGGTGCAAAGACCTCATGCTCAGCCTCGTTGGTGAGGACACCCTTCTTGATAGGGAAGCCGCGGGAATCGGCATCAAAGTCGAATTTCGACACGTAAACGACCTTGAGATCGGAGTTGACGACCAAGCCCTTGAGTTGTTGGGTGGAAAGGTCGAAGCCGATGTAGAGGGGGCTGTCGGGTTGGGCCATGGCAACTTGAATGCTGCGGTCCGGGGTAATGACGTAGGTGTTGTCGATGGGGTTTGAGGTTTTGGTATAAAGTACTCAATGATATATGCGCCTCGAGAAAAAACTTCCTAGTAGCTGAGAAAGAAGAGACTGTTGGTTGTAAGCAATTGGGGAAGCCAACCGATAGAGGGGTAAAGTAAGAGAGTGTAGAGTGTGGCAAAGGCGCTGATGCAATGGGCATTCGATGCTAAGATCGACGGAGCTACTAACCTTGTCCAGTGCAGCGCAGCGGGGGAGAAATTCAGAAGAGCTGACCAACTTCGCCATCTGGCAAGACTTCTTCTCTCCCTTATCTACATCACCATAGTCTCCATAATCATGACAAGATTCTGCCGAAGTCTTGTCTATTTTACCGAGCACGGCTCTTCTCAAACACAAGCTCGCTGTTCTTTCGTATAACAATGAGGTCAAATTTATCCCGGGCTCCACCGCCGCCGGGAATTTACCCGGTTGATTCAGTCCACGGGAAGAACGACGGGGGGTCTAGATCAGACCCTGTGAGGAACACCGTGACCATGTTGGAGCCCTACACTAGTGAAGTCCGGACTGTGACGGATTGTTCTAGGGCCCGTTGAACTTTCTACGCATGAATCTTAGTTCATCTCTTGTTTGGCCATCAGCTGAGCTGTTGAAGCGATCCCCCGCAATTCACCCGCTCTTGGAGGGGTAAGTTCGGGGTACTGCGCACTCCGTATCTGAAGATGATCTTCACCAATGCAACCATGCCCATGCCCCAGCGTACATACACGAGCATCTATCGAGAAACCGTTTTAGCTTTATATATCGATTACAATAATGTCTCCACTTAATATCGTTGCTATGTTCATCTTATATTGGCTCTATCTACCCTACCGGCACTCTTCGAGGGCAGGAACAATTCCAATCCTGGGTATCAAAGGTATGGAGCTCAAAAGCCAGGAGAAACGTTACGAATAAGGGAAGCACGACAGACGACCTCGTCGGCCACGCGCGGGGACGTCAATGCCGGACAGGAACCTCACAAGCAAGTCCTCGTTATCTAACGGCTTTTGCGAGAGTCGTGCTCGTGCTCGTGCTCGTCACCATCCTCCGGCTCTGGACGCGCCCGCGAAGTCACTTCAGCCGGAATAAATTCTTCAGTGAAGGTCAACTCCTGATGCTCAAGAGGAATAAACCGAACTTTGACCCGCTTGACGCCGCGGACTCGTTCTCCAACAGCAGTGCGCAATGCCTCTTCCACCTCGCGAGCACGGTTGATGGACCATGCGCCTGGCATTGCGACCTCGACATCCATGAGATAGTTCTGGCCCGACTTCATGCCTTGAACATCATGGATTCTCAGCGACTCGCCACTGTTCAAAAGAGATAGTGCCTTGGTAGCCGCTTTGTGCACCGAATCCTTCACCTCGTCGTCCACAGTGGTGTCTGCCAACTCCAAAAGGGAGGTCTTAGTATTACCCCATCCAGCTTTTATGACCATAAGTGAGATGAGAAGTCCTCCCACGGGATCCAGCCAGGAAGCGTCTTGGAACATGTAGGATCCACCAATCGTGAAAAGAGCAACAACGCTGGTCAGGGAATCGATTCGGTGGTGAACGGCGTTGGAGGCCAAGACTGACGACTTGCGCTCCGTGGCAACCTTCATAGCTGTTTAAAGAAGGGACGTCAGTATCACTTTTCAGATTGGCTGATAAGGCCTCCCAAGGTACTCACTTGCATGATAAAGCCATTCCTTAACCACGATAGATCCAGCAGCCAGCCAAGCAGCATGGATGCTTGGACCGAATGCTTCCACCCCATGGCTATGCGAATGGCTGTGTCCCAAAGCCCCCACGTGCGCAATTGCTTCAGCGATGCCGGGATAGAATTGATGTAGTAGGACCTGCCCAGAGTTGAGACCCATGAAGACGCCGCCGCACAGCAACAACCCGCTCACACCCAGAGCTCCAATACTCTCGATCTTTCCGTAGCCGTTGGGGAAGCGCTCCGACGGCGGCTTCAGCGACCAAGCAACCGTAGCTAGAGTCAAAATGTCCGAGACCAGATCGGTGAGGGCGTGGTAGGCGTCGGCAATGAGGGCCTGGGAATGGAACACATAGCCACCGATAAATTTGCCAATGGCCATGCACAAGTTGGCGACCAAGCCAAGCCGCGTGATACGGACTCCGGCATCATGTTTGTCGGTTGACGTGAGGTAGACATTACTGCCATGATGGTGGTGGTGATGGTGGTGGCCACCGTGTTCTCTTGTTTGGGTGGCCATTGAAGGGAGGGTGATCGAGGGTGGTAGTCTTGTAGAGCAGGCAACAGCAGTGAGGGACGGAATCAAAGTTGGGCGAGTAGTTGGACGGAGAGAAGCATTGGGGCACGCGATAAGAGTAGGAGGAAAGGTCGATGAAAAACCGGCGGCAGCACGGGAGCTCTTATGGTGATACAATCGCGGCGAACAAGAAGCGGAGGTGGAAGTGTTCAAATATCGCCGATGATAACAGCAAGCCCAGGGGCGACGAACAAAGCCGGACGGACCGCGGCGAAAGAGGGATGGAGGAGAAGTTGGTGGAGGATGGGCCCTGCACCGCAGGGGCTGCGTCAGCATCCTCGTCGTTCGAAACGCTTAGTAGCAGTCTAATATTATGGTACTGTAACGACTGAATTCTTTAAATTTCGGCGCACATGCGAGAGGAGACGGAATTGCTTCTTTCTTGGCCGCAGCATCAACCACAGCTCCATGGCGTTGGGTCCGCAGTGAGGAACAGAAAGATGGGATGGGATGGATAGCCACTGGCAGCCAGTCAGCCCAGCCAAGGCAAAGCTCAGTTCCATCAGTCATCATTTGTGACCCGGCTGAGGCGAAGCCGACATCATACGCTGACGAACAACGAACAACCGGTCCACTGCCTGTACAATGTTCTCTAATCCGCGGATTGCCATTGACTAGTCAGCGGAACCCCAAGGCTCCGGGCTGCAATCGGGCAGCTTGTGCTGCAAACCAATGATGAAACAGTGAATGTTAAAGTTATCTTAAACACTGAACAGTGGCTGGAGATCTAAGCTTTTGATTGTCGCAAATGCTCCCGAGTCGCTTCCCGTTCCTTCCCGTTGACCGCCGACAATGCACCTTCCGGCCTTGGCATCTCCAAATAGCCAACAACAACCAACACCATGTCGCATAGAGCTCCACCATGGATTGATTCTTCAGCATCTTGGTTTCAATGCCAGTCTCGACTCTCTTTTTCTCTCTCGTACACTCCGCTGTCTAGAGCCATCTCGGAACTGAGTCCGTTGATCATCTACGCAGTATCCGTCTTGGCTTCTTGGCGATGATGAATCCTTTCTACGAACCCTGACGGACGCGCGTGCTTTCAGAGCATTGGTGGATATACTATATCAATCCTGGATAGTACCAAGGAGAATTCATCTAGAAGGACGAATGGAGTACGACTCATGAAACAGCTAAAGTGCTGACCCTGTGATCAGTCGTACAGCAGCGGAGAAGGCTCTGGTCCTCGCAGGGCGAATTGAGCGGACTCCATTGTCATCTCAAGGGCTCCGGTGGATCTGTCTTCATATTTCTTCTGACTGCAGAAATTGAAACCGTAATCTATATCTGCTAACCGGGGATTCAGGTTCAGAATCCATCCTAGCATAGTCCGAGGACAAGAAATAAGTTTACGCTTGCTGATTACCACTGGCAGCTCCTCCAGCATTTAGCTGACACTGGAAAACCTTATTGTCCAGTCCTGAAAGACTGCGCCAATTCTCATCCAGTGAGGCCAGGAGTAGTCTGATATCCTACAATATACGGAGCTCACGGACAAAATTGATTCGTGATCGCTATCTGCGTGATAAAATTCGACACTAAGTTCCTCGAAGACCTTTTCACATGCTTCTAGCCCAAGCAAATGGTAATATTATCAGAATCGCTTGGGGTGAGACCTGCCTGGAGTGGCGAAAGCAGTGCATGCTTTTTGTTGAGGCAAAAAGAGTAACATTGACATCACGAAATGTGATTACATGGCTTCGAGTTTCGCAACCACTACAAACATGAGGCCCAGCAGTATGGTGTGTGGTAAGATGCATGTGTCAGTCTCTGGCTCATAAGATTCTATACCCAGAATGGCGGATGCACCACCATTGACCGAAGCCTTCTATCGAGAGTGGTTTGCGAAACAAACCGTGTTCCTGACTGGAGCAACGGGAGGTCTAGGCGGGTGCCTTCTGTTCAAACTCCTTCATCAAGTACCTGTTAAGAAAGTCTTTCTCCTCCATCGAAGCTCCGAGAAAGACACTATCGCAAAGCTAGGCAAGAACATGCCCGGATGTATCGATCAAGTCATGCGCACAGATCAACTTGAATTTCTCAAGGGGGACATCACCGCCGCGAACTTAGGCCTGGATGTGAGGCAACTATCTATACTTCGAAAGGAGACGACCGTTATACTCAACGCAGCGGCCAATACTTCATTCATTGCAGATGTCCACGAATCTTGCAAGGACAATTGTCTTCCCGCGCTAGATTTGGCCCAGCTTGCATTAAGCTTCCCACAGCTCGCCACATTTGTGCAAGTGTCCAGTGCATACGCCAACAGCTTTCTGCCTGATGGAGAGATCACGGAAACCATTCAGCCGTTTGGTGAAGACGACATCGACTGCGAGAGAGAGCTGGACGAGATCCTCTCCTCAAGAGGAAACACCAGCTGGACAAAGCAATGGGCCTGGCCTTATGCACAAGCCAAGTACCTCATGGAACGACTCCTATTCCAGAGGTACGGATCTCGGCTTCCCCTCCTCATCCTACTTCCCTCCGCCATCGGGCCAGCTCTTCAAGATCCATACCCTCTCTTTGGTCCCGCGGGCTCTAACCCTGTTGAGACCGCCCTCGGGTCTTATCTGGCCACTGGGGGCGGGAGTCGGGTCTGGAGAGCCGCGAGCGGCTCGACCAGTGGCAACTACATTTTGGACGGGATTCCCGTAGATTTTGTGTCAAATGTCTGCCTGCTTCATGTGGCGCAAGGGTCACAGGGAATTATCCACGCTGCTGCTCAGCTATACGTGGTCCTCACAATGGATGAGCTGATGGCCCTCGCCTCGCCTCACATTCCGCCAGACCTGGCGGTGCCGGCACCGTGCTTCAAATGGGACGTGAGTGGGAGCATGGAGCCTTGCCCTGTGGCGACCACTTTCGGTTTCCAGGGCCGTAACTGGATTTTCGACTGCAGGCGATCAAAGTCCTTGAGGGCCGTCGGTGGCCCACTGAGTTTGAGCCTTGACGGACATGACGCAAAGGCTTATATAAAGGGGCGGATTGAGAAGATCATTCCGAGCACTCGCGCAACGAAGAAGAGGGTTGCAGCTAGGCGAAGAGGTATGTCAAAGCTATGACGGAGCCGGTTGATAACGTCCTTTGAAGTAAGTTCTTTGGAGCTTAGTAGCGTGACGAACTTTTGTAGGGAAATTCAAATATACTTCAAATGCATGTAGTATGGTGACGGAATGAGACCGAGGCCGTTGAATGATGCCGATGAGAGAGTCATCTGACCCCCAGCCATGATGCTCAGCCTTGTCGATCTTGGCGGGGCGCAACACCCTTCCTTATATCTACAACGAAGGATAGCCTCATACCCCTCAGCCAGAGACTAAAATTGTTGGCATTAATGACATTTGAAAATGCCATCCTATATCTCCAGTGTCCTGACCATATTGCATCGACACTCAGCTCGCACATCACCAGCATCAAATCTATCACAAGAACTAGTCGGACCTCATCCGAGCTTGTTCGAGGAATCCTCTATACAACAGGGCGACATGTCCGATCTCCCTTCGAAAAGCCAATGTGCTATTCATCTCGAGCTGTTGGAAGCGTTCTATACTCTTCGTATCCGGGTTACTACCTCGAGCAGGCTGAAAAAAACTCTGGATCGGAAACACAACCACAAGAGATACTCGATACTCCCTGGACGCATAGAACCTTCCGAGAGATGGCACAGGTTTCTATCAATCGCAGTTACCAGATTCCAGCAATGGGTTCGAGCAGTGAATCACCATCTTGAAGCCAAGCACCTCGAGCGGAACAGTTCTCTCCTTCTACCTCCCCTCGGTGAATCCTTCCTTTGTTGCAAACGACATAATGATCACTACTGATACGGTAGCAGACATACTCATGGTATGGCATGCCTTCCTGCTCAACCCCCACGACTTTACCCAGTTCTGCAGCACCAACCACCTAGATCACATCCGCGGCCTCTCATTTCCCTGGAAAGCGATAGTAAGTCCAACCGACACCTCCCAACCCAACAAAAATGCTTCTCACCTATAACACAATCTCAGCACGAGGCCCTATCTCACGACAACTGGAACTACACTCTCCCAAGCAATACCTCAGCCTGGCTTCGCAGCGAGCTGAGCATCGCACCAGACCTAGTTACAGCACTATCAGACAATGAAGCCACCACTCTCGAAGCTATAACCCCACTGACCCCATCAGAGCACATCTCGTTGGTGGACAACATCCTCCGACAAGCCATCTTCATGGACAAAATGCATGATTTCCTCTGGATCCGTAGTCCCGCGCTCCAGGGAACCCTCACCCGGGCACTCGCGCGCTATGAGCGCTTCGTCGCCTTGTTCCGTCTGCACCCGGGAACAACGCTGGTCCCTACTCTGGACGTGGATTTGGTTTGGCACACGCATATGTGTAGTGCTGCCGTGTACGAACAGTCGATGCTGGAGCGGACGGGACGGTATATCAACCATGATGATAAGCTTGGAGAAGAAATCCTTACCGGGGGGTTCGATGCAACTGGAAGGTTGTACGAGGCTGCGACGGGGGAGCCGTACGGGGGTTGCTTCTGTTGGGATTGCGAGGCGATGCGGTCGGCTGGAGAGATGGTGGAAGGTGACGTGGAGGCGGGCGCGCGAAAGAAGATTGAGGAGGAGGTGGACTCTTGCTGGCGAGCTGAGATGGCGAGGCGCAAGTAGATGCTTTTTGGGGGTGTTGTACCTGTGGCTCGGACTTGTCTTGAGTTGCTACTGCTGCCACTCTAGGCCCTGCTACGTTAGCGTGACGCTTTATGTTCTATACTTTATCGTAGGAGACAACACGAGCGACGAGTTCAGAAGACTTGGAATGTTTCAACATAATAGCAACCTTGGTCGAATCGAGGGAAGTGAAGAGCGGGTTAATGGCACGTTCAATAGCGCAGCTCTTATCCTTGGTTACTCCCTGGATAGGCTTCCAGGCATATTGCATACTCCGCCGTCGAGGCTAAGCTAGTCCTGAAACTACACCTATCGCTAGCGATTACCAGTGTGACCAAGGCAGATCCATGTCTCCATGCCCAGCCACAATGGCACAGCCAGAATGCAGGTGATGAACGCTGGACCCATGACTGTTCTCCGCTCCGCTGGCGCTTACAGTTGCTCATCAGTCCACGGAAACCAACCCATCTCTCCGCTTAGCCGCTCAACGCTCATCACACCGGCATGGACCCCGGGAAACATAGCTTGACCTTCACGCATCATATCTTGGACGGGGTGGTTCATTGGATGTGAATTCGTTCTGCGTCACGCCTCCGCCGCCTGTGCCAGAAATGTCTTCGAATCGCCGCAAGGAACGATACGGCCAACCCGTCACTTCTCACAGCTCACAGACCCTGTGGATGGCTCACTCCAGGCAGGTTATAAGAAGCTGGAATGAGAATGAGTTCTGCGGGTGATACCAAAGAGTATCTGGCCGACATCAATGATCATGGATACAGAGTTGACCAGCGTCCTATGCCCACCACCGGTTCCAATGGATCTCCTGGGGCTGAGGAGGCGGGTTGGAAGCGTGATGGCAGTCGACGACTGCAAGAACAGGTTGATACAAGTGAGCCTCTACTATAGTCCTTCAGACTTTAGAGGAGCCATCGCTGACGATGCAATGGTCAATAGGACCTATTCTTCGAGGTCGAGAGGCTTCACTCTGCTCTCCTCGACGAATGCACCAAGCTGGAGAATGAGAGGTTCCATTTCATTCAAGAACTTACTCAATACAGGACGGAGATTGCAGATCTGAGACACAATCAGGTAGTGTTCCTACATACTCACACATACTGCAGGTCTATATGAAGACACTAATGACGCAGGCAAAGCTAAGCTTCGTGTCTATCCTCGTCGACGGGGACTGTATGAATGTACGCCAACCGACTCTCCAACGACCTACGTAAGCTAACGACACAGTTAGTTCAACGACGCCCTCATCCAAGAAGGCCACAACGGCGGCCGCAGAGCTGCACGACTGCTACTCCAGTCCGTCGAGCGCTACATCCGGGACATTGATCCTCAAGCCAGCCCCGGCCTGCAGTACAGAGTGTGTATCTACGCCAACCTGCCCGGTCTCGAGAAAGCCTACCGGGAAGCCAGAGTGCTGTCCTCGTCGGAAACCCTCGACCCATTCGTCCGGGGTTTCAACATGGAAGATAGCCGGTGTGATTTCATCGACGCAGGAAACGGCAAAGAATGCTCCGATGTCAAGATCCGAGGCATGCAACCCCCCAACTTGCCCTCTTCTGCTGCATGTAAGGCCCAACTAGTCTGACTGGCTGGCTGACAACAAAAAAGCAACCTTCGAGCGCGACATCCTCGACGTGCACTGCCGCCGTATCATATTCTGTGCTGCCACGGATAACGGCTACGCCCGCCTCCTCGGCTCCCATCGAAGGAGCAACCGCATCACCCTGGTCGAGGGGGCGCCATTCGCCTGGGAGATGGAACAGCTAGCCACTGAACTCCAAACAACCGCATTCCCGGCAGTATTCCGGGCTGCGAAGCTCCCCGCTCGTGCATCCTCGTTCAGCGCCGCTGCAACCGCTTCCGCCAACGTTGCCGCTATTGCTTTACCAACCACCGGCGGCACGCCATCCCCGTCTCCTCCCCGACGGGACTATGCTACCATCGCGAAAGCGAACCTCCAGATAACCCCCTCGTCTTCCGCCTCCTCCTCGGCCTCCTCTTCTGCCACCACACCCACTTTCCCAACAGCCAACCCATCATCCCAGATAATCTTCGACATCTCCCCCTCTTTCTCTTCAACGCCCCCACTCCCAAAAATCCACTTCAACGCGCAAGACCAACGCATCGACCCCCCCCTCCGCCGCGCGAGCAGCAAAGAGAACTACGAGCGCCTCCGCGCGGCCAAGCTCTGCAACCGGTACCACCTGCAGGATGACTGCAGCTACGGCGACGGCTGCACGCACGCGCACGGCCGGCGGCTGACGAGCGCGCAGGACCTCCACGACCTGCGGTGCATCTCGCGGACGAGCGTCTGCGGCGAGGGGCTGTGGTGCACGAACCGGAAGTGCGTGTGCGGGCACCAGTGTCCGCGGGAGACGTGGCGGGACCATGAGATGACGGAGTGTCGGTTCCCGGAGGAGATGCATGGGGTGGATCGGGTGGTTGTGCGGGTTGAATAGGTTGACTTGAAAGATAAGTGGGTGTAGTGGTACTTTTGGCAGTAACAGTTTATTGATTTATGGTGACTCTTTTCCGGTTCTCCGGTTGAAACATTTTATATACGTGATTCCCTTCGTGAATCCTCCCTGCCCATATTACCTACCATATATGCCATCCATCTCCAATGCCTCAAAGAGAAGACCTCGGCCGACGATCACTTGAGTCCGAAACCGCAAACCTGTCAGAAACAAGTCCATTAACACAACACAATCCCAACCCTCCCCAGCACGAGTCTTCCCTCCGTGAACCCATGAGATCGCAGTCTGAGCCCCAAGTCCCACCACAAAAACAAAGGAAAAGAGAAAAACCCACTAAGCAAACAAATACTTGGCAGCATGCTCGACATGATCGTCCGCGAACGTCGCCATCGTGTAGTAACTGTGATCATAGTCCGGCTGGTAGCGGACCTTGATGCCCTCGACGCCGGCCTCCTGGGCGGCCTTCTCCAGGTTCTCGGGCAGCAGTTGGCCTTGCTTGTAGAAGTTGTCGCCGGTGCCCTAGTTGCGGTGAAATTAGCCCTGTGCTTCTGCGTCCACCCAGACTAAACCCTCCCCGACCAAATCCAGACCAGCAAACCCCAACAACATCCAGAGACCCACGCCAAAGAAAAAACGGTGTTGAACCGGGGGGGGGGGACATACAACATCAATCAACACATCCAACGGCCCACCCTTCCACTTCCGCACCAACTCCGTCGCATCATGCTCCTTCCACTTGGTGTCCCGCAGCTCCTCCCCAAAATATCCCCCAAACGCCTTCTGGCCCCAGGGACAGTTGATCGGGTTCGAGATCGGCGCGAACGCCGAAACGGACTTGTATTTACCGGGGTTGCGGAGGAACTAAAGCAGCACGTAGAAGGTTAGTATCAAGCAACTCTCCCCTTCCCCCTCCCCCTCCCCAAGCAGCGGACAAGTAAACGCGACGGAAAAAAAAAAAAAAAAAAAAAAAAAAAACCCACCAACGTCAAAGCCCCATGCCCCCCCATACTATGCCCGGTAATACTGACGCGCTCCGCATCCAACACCGGAAACGCCCCGAACACCACGGCGGGCAACTCCTCCGTGATGTACGTGTACATGTTGTAGCCGGCGTCGTAGGGCGCCTGGGTGGCGTCGACGTAGAAGCCGGCGCCGGTGCCGAAGTCCCACGCGTCGTTTTCGCCGGCGAGATTGAGGCCGCCTTGTTCCCCCCGGGGGGTTAGCAATCAGGTTTACAGGAATTGCACCGGAAAGGGCAAGGGCAGGGGCAAGGGCATGCGTACGGGGACTGGTGTCGGGATACAGCACGGCCATGCCCTTCTTGCTGGCGCCGTGCTGGAAGAAGCCCTTCTCGGAGCAATTGTCCGCGGTGCAGGTCAGGCCGGACAGATACAGCAGGACGGGGATCTTTTTGGTATCATTCTGGAAGGCCTGCGGCGGGAGGTAGAGGTTGAAGGACATCTCGCACTGGGTGGAGGTGGCGGCGTGGCTGAGCTTGAGGAGCTTGCCGCCGAAGGAGGCGATGGTCGCTTTGGTGGTGACGGACATTTTGGACTTGGTTTCTGAGGTCCGAGTCTGGGTCTGAGGCAGAGGCAGAGGGAGAGCTTCTTCTCGGAAGGGAGGGGAAAGGAAGAGGAGGTATTAAAAAAAAACAGGAACGCACCGGGAAGGAGGGGAAGGGAATGACGATGAGGGGTTAGGTTTTCCGCGGATGAGGGGAAAATGAGGGGCGCCGGTGGAGCATCGGGAAATTTTCCCCTTTGTGGACATGACATATCGTTACTATACAGATAGCAAGTCTACACTTGGCGATGGAGTGTATGTTTATCGTTCTTTTTGCAGGTTCGGCCGCTATCATGTACGTTCTATTAGGGGAGTGTTCGAGAGGCCCCACGGACTCTTTATCCTCCTGCAAGATCGAAGGCAGTGACTGGGGTAATCTGATGCAGGATCTTGACCGTACAATCGAGTGACCAGACAGAACTCAGAAAGAATGATATCAGATGTATGAAACGCTAGCAATGACAGGGGTAATAGGCTAATCAACACCACTTAAAGAAAAACATCAAGACCAATTCATCACATCCCGAGTGCCCCATCGGCTTACTCCAAAAACACCGAAGGGATGCCGTAAATCACAGGCGCAGCCCCATTCAAATACTTCAAAACGCAAGCTTGTCGTGACTGGCAGACAGCTTCGTCCAAGGCCATCGCCTCCTCCTCGCCACCAAAGAGGCCCCACTTGTCAAAGGTACTCTTCGCGAACCGATCAATATCCTTGTCCGTCACATCCCACAGGGTAGCCACCAAAGCCGGGCTCCCCGCGTGCAGGTAGTTCATCGGCGTCCCGTATGGCTCGTACTCCCCGGCTTCCGTCAGAGCGCCACTGCTACAGCCCATAAGGAAGGTGATGGCGCATCTTTCCAGCCGCTTGATGGTTCGGCCTCGGATATACTGTGCACCACTGCCGTGGCCGAAGTAGAGGAATAGACTCTTGGTCTCCAAGCCATGCCTGAATTCGGCTTCGGTCGGCTCCCGCTTGGAGATCCCCTTCCAATGTTCTAGCCCGAGGAGTTCCTTCTCAAAGGTTCCCTGGGTTGTCTGCAGATCACCAGTGGGGTTCAGGATATACGTCCCGTTCCTGCTATCGATGCCGAACTCATGTTTGCGACCCGCGCGGTCAGTCTGGAACTGCAGGATCCGATCCCGAAGGCATTCCAAGGATGGCACACGGCACACAGGAAGACCCTGAAGACATGGAAGAGACTCCCAAGGGAACATATGTAGCGACTTGTCGAGAACCAGCACTGTGCTATTCGGTGTCCGCCTTTTGTGATCGTTGCGCACAGCATCGTGATGTCCTCTGAGAGCATCCAGAGTTTCCACGACCATCATATCGAAGTCGATCTCGTCGTACGCATTGCGTTCCCCTTGGAACTGCAGAATATCCACAACAAAGTAAAGTAGATCCATCAAGGTTTCTTCGGGGTCTTCCTGACTCTCTAGATCCTTGACACCCAGGAATAATTCCAGAACGTTCGGGTGTAGTGTCAACTGTGGGCCCTCGGCGCGTCTACCTTTCTGTCGGGAAGGTAGGTGTTTGTCTAGGACATTCTGGAAAAGAGCCGCGAATCTCTCCAAAGATTCGGTTTCGTGAGGCATGGGAGAGAAGATTCCCCGGAAACCACCAAACCAGACGTTCTCAATGTTTTGTAGCAGGTTCTCCATGCGTCGGTCCAGGGCTTCACGGTTCTTCCACCATTCCTTCTTCGATTGCCGGTCGTTCTGGTGCTTAGCGGCATGCGCACTTTGGTTCGTCAGCTTGATGAGTTCCTTCATTTCTTCCTTCCCATCTTCGAAAGTGAACTGATCTTCCTCATCGTCCTCGGAACCACGTTTGAGTGGTAGTCGCAACAAGAAGGGTGAGCGACCCTTGTGCAGCCTGGAAACAACAAATTCAGTACTATCAGCACTAAGGGACAGAGAAAGAACATTCCAATTCTCTGGAAGGATCTCAATGTAGTCCTCTGTGAAACGCGAGTAAAGATCCTCTTCAAGCTTGGCCTTTGCTTCAGCACTTGGCCAAAGCAGAGGGTCGCAGTAGTTTGCTAACTGCTTATCGAGACTGATGGCAGCTCGTTCACGCGTAAAGGCACCTATGCGGCCTATTTCGTTCATGTTTGCTGGAGACTGAGACAATAAGCCCGAGCTCTCCGGTACAGTGACATGAGAGAGCATGGAGATACGGCTCATCAGGCGAGAAGCTGCGTGACTATCAAGAGTAGATCCTAATGTCGTGGCGGTGGGAAAGATTGCGTTTAGGCTCTCCCCGGCTTTGGACAACATTACGGAGAAGTCCTCAGTCGGCTTGGCGGATTTAGCCCTCGTGCTTCTTGCTGGCGTACGAGCTGGAGCTCTTGTCTTCCGTGTGGATGATGGCTTACTAGTGCTTGACTTGCTGGGGACCTTGCTTGGGGACTGGAGGGATGGCAGGGAGATGGTCGATTCTGGGAGAACACAGTAAACTGCATGTGTGGCAAAATGCCGAATGGCATCCGCAAGCAGATGCTCACTCTCGCCAATCTGCAAAGATATCTGACTGTCCCGAGACGTCGCAAACTTGCGGGCATTGTGGAGGGTCATTGATGCTTTCTCGAAGTCGCGAAGCGTGCGTAAACAGGCTGCTTGCTGACGAAGAATCTCGCTTCGCAGATGCGACAAGGAAGTAGACTCGGACTCGGACTGGCTTGGTGTGGCTAGTGTCTCTGTAGCCTTGGATGCATTTGAAGCGGACACCGTCGCTGCGCGAGTCCTGCGTGTTGTGGTTGTTGTTGTGGCGGCACGTTGACGTGTTTTCCTGGCCGTTCCCTGGAGTTGCAACTTCTTCATCTGGTCTTCAAGATTCGGGATTGTTGCAGAGGCATCCAATCCATCAGGACCAGCCACTTGAGTCATCAAGCGATCAGCCTCGAGAAGAGCATGCTGCTCGTCAATATAACGGCCCTGTGCCCTGTAAAGAGAAGCAAGGCCAACTTGAAGCGAGACGAGTTCCACACTGCTTTCGAGTTGCTTGGAAAGAGACTCCGCCGCCTCGAGCAGTTCCTGCCCCTCAGAGAGGTGACCCCCGAAGATCCAGTGGGACCCAAGCTGTGCCTGAGATGCAATGAGACGGACATTCGCATTCAGAGATTTGTTGATCTTGAGAGCTTGTTCTCCGTAATATATAGCATCCTGAAATAGACCGTGGTGTGCTGAGAGACTTGCCAGATTCAGCAGGGCGGTATGATGGGAGCCAATATGAGGCCAGAAAGGGGCACCCTGGGAATAGACAGGATTCGGCACGGGAGCTGCTTGCGCAACCTCGAGCTTTGCCATTCCTTCCACCACAGTCTCAAGTTCAGAATTATCGTTAGCCTGAAGCATCTTGTCTTGTTTCTTCTGAGAAAGCTTCTCAATCTTGGCCCAAATTCTGCAATTCAACCGGACAGAAAGCTTGGCAAAAAAGAGAGCATCATTGACCGATCCCTGAGCGAAAGACAGCCGAGAGCTCATGAAGGCTGCGTCAGCAACAAGCCGCTCCCAGAGAATCTTGGACAACGTGGAACAGCTGTTCAGATCTTCCTTCTTCTGGTACTTCTCGTACAAAGCTCTGGCTTTGGCGAGCACGGTCGCCGCTTGGTTGATATCGCCAGTTTCGAGGAGGTAGCCGACGTGTGCCAGTCGGTACGACAAGATCGCCAAGCATGTGGTATTGGAATGAGTGAGATACTGCTCCGCCCGCTTCAAGAGAGCGCTGGCTTTCGTGCAGAAGCCAAGTCGACTGTATTGGAGCACAAGCCGTGATAGGACAATAATTGCTTCAGAAAAATCACCCGATTCTTGAAGCTCCGTGGTCTTTAGCACCAATTCAAGTGCAGAGAGCTGCAGCTTCCAGAGCCCGTGAATCTCGGTGTAGTCAACTATCGCCCTCATCTGAAGTAGATAGTGGTCGAGGTCGCCGATTTTCAGAAGAAGAGACTCCAAGTCTCCGCAGTCTCGCAGCATTGCACTCCATGACGAAAGAACTGACTCCAGGGTTGAAGGTAAAAGGTTACCCTCATGGAGGCCGAGTGTAAGTTGAACCGAGTTTTTGAGATGTAACCATAGAGAACCAAGGTCGGAGTCCTCGCCGACGTCCTCCTGGTCAATGCATTGGAGGCCGACGTCAATGACACTTGATAGCAATTTCGAGTCCATCAAACCCGGATGCTCCAAAGAGAAGCGAAGAATTGTAAGAACAACGCGCAGAAGACGAATGGTGTGGGTATCAAAAGAGTACAAGTTGAAGATCTGAGTGATAAGCAAGGTAAAAGTCGATCGGAAGGCCTCGTCGGAGCAAGCATTGGCGGGAAATTCAGCCAACACCCCCAGTTGCCACTCCATCAAATGGCCTCTTTGGCTCAGATCCAGGCTGTCGTCATCGAAGAAGCCGTGCGTTTTCGACTTCTTGGATCTGAGGTTCAATTTCAGAAGGGCATACAGAACGCGGCCAAGCATGAATCCATTGCTTTTAGGATCCTGGCACATTTTGTGAGGAAAGCACCCAACCGTAGATGAGATCACTTGGTCGAGCGTGCCAGTATGTATGTGTTCGAAGATCGACTTGTGGAACGCCTGTTCTGATTCACGAGCATATCCCCCTTCCAGATATGTGTGTGCTAGTCGCTCATACTTGAGGGGTGCGAACCCAGCAACACGTTGCGAAGGCGAGCAATTTGACAATAAGGTCGCGGATTGCTTCAAGATGGGCAGAAGCTCACGATACCCTTGACCAGACTCTTTCTCCTTCACATACCGAGACCAAAACATATTCGACAGTTTGACGAATGCATTACCGACACTTTCAACGACTGGAGAGCCGGGCTGCTTCTCCCCCTGAGGTTCTATTATCACGAGTAGTCGCTGGCAGTCGAGTAAGGTCGGTTGAATATCTTCCCATAAGGGCCTGCCGGACGTGATAGACAATCTTCCGACCGCGAGGACAGAGTCCACAGCCGCGAGCGCAATATTTTGGGATGCAGCGACACGCCTATCAAACGACTCGATCTCCTTCGGGTCTTCTTCCGTCGGCTTGCGCCCAATGTATCGGCGCAAGAAGCGTATAAACCCGTTAAGATATTCCAGGATCTTA